TTATCCCGCAATAACCTTCCTCTCCCCCCCAGGCGCCCAACCCCTCCTCTATCCACACCGGCCCAACTCATGCCCAACTCATGTCCCCGTCTCTGTCCTAGCCTATCCTCGTACCTCGTCCTCACACCCCTACCGGCGCACCTCCACCTCCACGCCGGCTCTTGCTCTAGTTATTCACCCCATCTCATTGCAGCATAGGAACACCCCCTCTTCGTCTCGCCCCACCACAGCTAGTCTTCCCCCTCCCCAATCAAGCCCACTCCCCTCTTCCGCTCCCCAACACCTCGCCTCAAACCATTCTCGAACCATTCCAACCCGCTTCCCACTAACCCGCCCGCCTGAGATACATCCCCCCTTCTTCGAGCGCTTCGGTTCCTTTCTTGCCTTCATTCCAAATCAGGTCTAACCCAACCCCACAATACCCCTTCTCCCAACCATCCGAAGCAACCCCAGCTAGTCTTCCCCCTCCCCAATCAAGCCCACTCCCCTCTCCCGCTCCCCAACACCTCGTCTCGAACCATTCTCGAACCATTCCAACCCGCTTTCCCAATAACCCCCCCGCCTGAGATACATCCCCCCTTCTTCGAGCGCTTCAATCATCGTTTCAATCATCTCCGTCCATCCCTGTAGAAGATAACACCCGACACCGTCGATAGTATATTGGGAAAAAAAAAAAAAAAAAAAAAAAAAAAAAAAAAATCGGTTCCTTTCTTGCCTTCGTTCCGAATCAGGTCTAACCCAACCCCACAATACCCCTTCTTCCACAATCCCCACTAACAAGCTCTCGAACCACCTTCCCTCCAGACCTGTTCACTCCCACCCACGCCATACCCCACTTGCTCGTCCACCCACGTCTATCCTCTTGTTGGTCAGAGTTCGACAGCTCTCATACCCCGCATTATCAAGCCCTCAATCCACCACCCCTCCAGGACGTAACAGTGTATGAGAGAGAGCGAAGATGCAGAGGCCAGGAAGTCGTAAAGGCCCAGCAACGTTCAAGCAAATGTTGCAAGAGCTCGCGTCCAACCCTAGGACCCCGCAAACGGGCAAATCACTGACTAACATGTTCGACAACGAGGCTCTCAAATTCCTCATTGAAAAAACTAAAGTACAAGGGGAAACGATTGTCGAAAAAGTGAAGAACAATGAAAACAAGGAGGAAGAGATCATAATCTGGAAATACCCGGAAGGCAAAGTGTCGGAATTGGATGAACTACGTGAAAAACACGCTGTGGTCTTCAATTTCGCCAGAAGTGGTGCTGACTTACAACCAGCAGAAAAACGGAAATGGATTACAGCGACGATAAAAAAAGAAGACAAGCTGAAACCTTCAAGTGAGCCCTTTTCCATGTTGGGCCTGGGCCGCAACTCGATTATAGTGACCTTCAATCTGGAGGACCATGTGCGCATTGCAGCCGAGATGAAGTCCAGGAACTGCAATGGCTCAATATGCACTATCACGCAATGGAAGAAACAGACAAATACGAGGCCAAACCCAACGTTCTCGGTATCATACAAGCAAACCCTGCTGAAAGAACAATTCTGGGTACAGTTTGACAATATTCAACCCGGCTTCCATGGGTTGCTGGTCGACAGACTCGAAAGACAATATCCGGCAAACAAGATCCTTAAATGGATTTTGCCGATGTCGGACTTTCTAGCCCCGCATTGTGGATCAATGACAGCCATTATGGAGGTTAAAACCGACGACCCTCCTGTTTTCCCGACAGAATGGAAATTTCAGATCGAAGACAGGGTACAGACAATTAAAGTGCCAACCAAGGCTTCCCCCATCTGCTTCAGATGCAGAGAGAGGGGGCACACGGGATCAGATCCTGCATGTCCAAAGTTCCCGAAGCAGCAAAGAGAGAAGAAGCTTCACCCCAACATGATGTTGGAGGTGGAAGACGCCCCGGGAACTTGGTTCATTGTGGACCCAACCTATGACGACTGGGTCTTTGATGACAACCTGGACGACCCTGAGTGGGTCTGGCATTATGCAGACAAGGAGCCGACAACAAAAAAAACGGATATATTTCCACCAGCAGACAGCAGGTGGCAAAAGAAGGCCACAGGCAAGGAGACAGAGAACCCAGCGAAGATCAAAACGGTTCCCCTCAATGACTCCCGTGTGATCAGGGAGGAGAAAGCACGGGAAGACTTGCTCTGGGACCTGAACTCGGTCCGGGGCCAGATCGAGGAAGAATACTCCAAAGAACCTGCAAAAATCCAGGCCAAAATACAAGCATACATCAGCCTCAAAGAACAGGAACTAAAGCAAGAACTGAACCAAAAACTGAACCAGACCCAGACGGACAATAAACGAACCATGGAAGGAGGCAGGACCATGGAAGGAGGGGAGCCAAGATCAAAGAAAAGGAGAGGCCTCACGGAAGACATCAAAGAAGGGCTGCAGCAGGCCCCCGAGGGGGTACAACAAACGGACTCAGCCTCAGACGAAAGGCTTGGGGACAGCAGAAAGGCCGCTGCCTCCACAGCCTCCAACATCGAAGATGACGGCCTAGCCAAGAGATCCCTCCAATGGTTAAGGGACTATATCGAAAAGGCGAAGAAGGAGCGGGAACACCTCTTCGATATCCGCACAGCCTGCATGAAACACATGGAGAGGACCCAGAAAAAGGGGTCAATTGCAGGCATTCAGACCTCCACAAATGAATACGACCTGCTGAAAAAAGCAGAGGAGTTTTCTGAGTATACTGCGTTCAGATATGCCGAGAAGAAGAGGGCCAGGGAGCAAGGCCTCAAAGACAAAGGTTTAACTCTTGCTGACTCCAGAGAAACCCTCCAGGAGCTACGACCAAAGAAGTGGAAAACCACCATGAATCAGAAAAAAAAAGAGTTTAGCACAAATCAAGCAGATTCGGAGGGTACAGAAAAAACAGTCAGGGCTGAACTGGAACAGGAAATTGCGGTAGTTGAGGCTCAGTCAGATAAGCTGAAGAAACTGAATACCGTTTATGAGCCCGAGTTCACATCCCTCCGGCACATAGCAGAAGGCAAAGCCCCCCATGTGCTGGAATCAGCCAAATCTGCGAGGTTAACACTGATGGGAACCCGCCCTCTTTTGGCTGCCCGCTTTGTGGAGAAGACAAAAGAGTGGCAGGTGGCCACAGATGTGTCCTTCGCGATCCCGAGAATCGACGAAGGGCGGAATGTGGCAACCATCCTGTGGGAAAAAATCACAATGGCATACCCCCTGGGTGTGTTGGTAACGGACACCCCAGCTTCTAAACAGGACGATGAGGCTCAGCCAGTACTGCAGGATGATCAACAATGATCAGACAGACCCTATGGGTGTCCAAAAAGACCAGATCAAGTCTGACCCTAGATCCTTCACTCCCCTCATCGCAAAAATGCCTGAGGGCGCCAAGCTGAAAGGAGGAATGAGATGGTGGTCGTGGGACACGGTGACGGCCATTCCCTACAGTGTGTTGTCAGGGATGGTATCCCCGCTGAACTACAGGCCGCCTCACTGGCTGTTCTGATCACCGAGGTAATCTTCAGTGGAGATGCTGATCTAGACTCCAGGGCCTATGCAATAGACCTGGACAGTTACTACAGAGATGACTACACTGAAGAGGACATGGAAGAGTGGATCGAGACCGACCCCGAAGCCAAGCTAGAGGGCTCCCCGTCCAAAGGAATGACTGGCAGCATTGGGGAGTATAGGCTGGACGAATCCCTATCCGATACTCAATCTGACCCTCCTGGGAACGCAACAGATCCTATGGAGCCCGGGGGCATAGGCACCACCTAGACCCAGAGTCATTAGCCCCTTCTTGGTCACCGTATAAACCAGACCATGGATCTGCTCACAAGAGAAGCCAATGCAAAGGGGCGGAAGGTGGATTGGAAAACACAAGGCTTAATCATYCGTAGCTGGAAYGTCAATGGTCTTGGGAATATTACCARTAAAGAAGATAAAATGAATGACATAATTRAAGGAYTGAAAAACCAATCCAGAAATCCCGCAGATATTATTTTTTTGCAAGAAACTCACCTCACTAACTCAGAAGACCATCAAAAAATCAGAAGATTCTTCACAAGGAAATTAGGCGGGGTTAAGGACGAGGTATGGGCAGCGGACAGCACATCTAGCACGAAAGGCACGACAATTCTCATTCCAAAATCTTCCCGTCTGTACTCGGCTGGCTCAGTACAAGGAGGTGAAAAGGACAATGAGTCAGGCAGATGGTGCCTCATGGACTTGAAATGGAAGGAGGAGGAATTCAGAATCATCAACGTCTACGCACCAAACAACCCATCAGAAAGAGCAGAGTTCGTACAAACTATGGGACAACTAATATCGCCACTCTCGGCCTGCATCATAGGAGGGGACTGGAACGCTAGCCCGGATCCGCACAATGACCGTACTTCTCGGGCTGGCTCTACTCAAGCCTAACAAGAAGCGGCGCCAATCCACAGACTAATGATGGACTACAACTTAGTCGATCCGTTCCATATCCTCTACCCGGGTAGAAAAGCCTTCTCCCTGGTCAAGAAGAACCATGCACTCCACACGGCCTTCTCCCGGATTGACTACTTCCTTGTTTCCGAATCATTAATGGGGACCGTCAAGGATGCAGATATCCTGCCTCTTGCACCGTACCCCGGACTAGATCACAAGCCAATAGAGCTGATATTCAACTTTGATCAATACACAACCAGAGGAGCCAGTTTTCACAAGCTTAATAACTCCCTCCTTCTAAGCCAGACTTTTCAAGAATGTGTTCAAGACTGCTGGCAGAACTCAAAAGGTGTTTTTTTGGAAGGCCAAGACAGATGGGAATGGTTCCAAGATAGCTACCYCTCTCTATCCCGATCGGTGGCCGRTATTTCCAGGAAACTAGCAAATGAACRRAAACGARGAAAACAAATYCTTGAAGCAGCACTAAAAATTGCSGAGTTAAACTTAACCAACAACCCCTCCTCGCCAATGTACTCCTTGGCGCTCGAGAAGACTCGAGAAGAGCYTGCGCTKTGGAGGCAATGGGAACTCAAAGGACTYCAACTCRGGGCAAGGAYGAATGAATACGAACTGRACGAATCAATGACAAAACATTTTTTTGCAAGAATAAAGGCCAACRGTAGATCAAACGCTATTGAAGGCCTCAAAGAGATGGCGGGCGACCAGTCCACAAGAACGGACAGCGAAGGGATGCTGAAAATAGCCAAGGAATTCTACCAAGAGCTATACCAGTCCAAAACCTCCTCCCCAACTCCAACTCCCGTAAAGGAAGCAAGGGCGAAAATGCTCCAATTCCTAAATAGAACGATCTCCCAGGACCAGGCAGAAGTTCTCGACARACCAATTACCYTAGTGGAACTGCAAGCGGCSGTCCAKAGCATGAATAATGACAAGACCCCAKGAATTGACGGCCTAACTAAGGAATTWTGGGAGAAGTTYTGGCCTTTGATGGGAAACGATCTTYTGTGCTTCTACCAAGACARTTGGGAAAAAGGAGGATTAGGTGAGCTGTTGAGWAGCAGTGTAGTAACGCTACTTTACAAGAAGGGGGAYCGGGAAGACATCCGAAATTATAGACCCATCTCCCTGCTCACCCTCCCCTACAAGATCCTGGCGAAAGCCCTGGCCAACCGGATCGTAAACCTTACYGACAAATGTTTCCACATAGATCAGGCTGGCTTCATTCCAGGAAGATACATCCTAGATAATGTTCTAACCTTAAGTGAAGCAGTCAGAAAAGTAAAAGAAAAAAGAATAAACACAACAATCTTATTCTTCGACTTTGAGAAAGCCTACGATCAAGTAAACTGGGCCTTCCTCAACACGAGTATGGAAAAAATGGGTGTTGGACCCAACTTTAGGAAATGGGTCAGAATCCTCTATAACAATGCATCAGGATGTGTCCAGGTCAACGGCTTTATGTCAGAAGCCTACCCAATCTCAAGATCCGTGCGTCAGGGCGACCCCCTGGCTCCGTCAATCTTTCTATTTGTAATGGAAGCCATTGCCTCCTTCTTACGCAAAGACCCCTCAATACAAAGATTGCAGGAGACCAATGTCGGTACCCAACACCACATCCAATTCCCAACAGTCATAATGTTTGCAAATGACCTCACGGTCCTTATAAGAGCGTCCGACTCCTCGGTGAAAGCGTTGGTCAGAGCAATGGAAGCCTTCAGACTGGCCTCTGAAATGAAAATCAACTGGAAAAAAACAGTAGGTTGGTGGCTTGCAGAGGAAGACACACCCAGGCTAGAAGGCCCTGAAGCGAAAATGATGTGGGAAAACACGGAAGAGCCGACAAAGTACCTAGGGATTCTGGTAACCAAGGACGGACCCGCTCCACAGATGGCTCAAAATCTGCTAACTAAGCAAATTAACAGAATGGGACGATGGGGGAATGCGTTTACGTCATTGTTAGGAAGGGCCCTAACTATCAACACATCCATCTTCTCTATGATGTGGTATATAGCTTCCATTTGGACTATAGCTGACCACACGACCAAGGAATTGAACCGCAGAGCCAGGGCATACCTCTGGTCAGGTGACCCGAACAAAACTAAATACATACCCAAGATAGCCTGGCACTATATAACACGAAAGCCATCTAAGGGAGGTCTAGGAATCATCAACCCGAAGCAGGAAACAAAAGCCCTTCAGATTAAGTGAATCATCAAGCTGCTAACCCAGCCCACACTGGCATGGCAGGGACTAGCACTAGACAGCATCAGAGCAATAGCTCCTATTGATAGTCCAACCAACATGTCAGGCCTCTTTTGGGTAATGAACAAGGAGTGRGCCCCAAAGACCGGCCRCAGGAGACGACCAACAAATGACTCGCRGGAAGAGTCGCRGACCCCCACTCCTTACTGGACCGCCCTTATCCACACGTGGAGGGAAATTATGCCCAAAAAAATCAAGAAGCCTAAATCTAAGGAASAAGTGTTGCGCCAACCCTTGTTTGGGAATCCATGTGTGAGAGACGYAGGTAACCACCCACTCTCACTTTCAAGAGGCCAGCGATGGCTCTCCTGGATTACGCACGGAGTATGGAGGGTTAGTCACGTCTGGGATGAAGACCGAAAGGACTGGATTGACGAGGAAAAAATAAAATCACTCCTGAAAGGGTGCCACCACAAAGATGAAAACCTGCAAACAGTGATCAATAGTATCCCGGATGGATGGAAAGACTTACTCAAAGAGGACTTCTCTTGGAAGCCAGGTGAATGGGGAGTACTGACACAGGAAACGACACCTGCAAGAGCATACCAATTCTCCCACAGAGTCCCAGGGTCCAACCTTTCGGGGGTGTTCACCTCGTTCCCGATAGACTCAACCAATCCCAAATCTCCTTCCATCCACAACATGGACCCACAACAGGCATCCTGAGTTCATTTATGCTTCGAAAAATAAGAGTACTAGGCAATTGGCCTAAGCTAATCTTCCAAATGCAAACAACAATCCAGGAACTAGAGTTTGACCCAGCTGAGTGGGCATGGTCCGAAAACAACGGAGCTTGCAAAATGCCCATCCAACTTACGCAATACACAGTCAAAATGGGATACAGAATGCTGCTAAAAACAAAAGACCCAGATCCGGTAATCAAAGCAAGATGGAATAAAATACTGGGCCAGGAAGCTGAACAAATAGCCAAAGTGCCCTGGCAGAAATATAAATCAATACGTCCGGTTAAAATAAGAAGCATGCAGTGGCTCATTACGAACGCTGCACTTCCTGTGAACAGTTGGCTACACATCAGACGACAAAAAAACGACCCGAACAGTTCAGATCTCTGTGAAGTATGCTCAGATAACGAACAGGAAACCATCACACACTGCCTAATCACATGCAAGGAAGCTACCGAGTATTGGGCAAGAGCAGCTGCTCTCTGGAACTACCTGTTTCCTTCTCCTTTCCCCGAACACCCAATCCAGATACTTCTATGGACTAACACCCCTACTAACTTTAACAAGTCGGAGAGCATCTGGTATGGCATGATTCAAAAGGTGACAATCTGGGTCATATGGAAGGAAAGATGCACCAGAACGCTGGATAACTCCAGTAATCCACGTGAGAAGGTATGGGCAACGACCAAATCCTTAATGGAAACTGAAGTCCTCTCCCAATGGAGGAAAGTCAGGGCTCAAGCTCAGGAAAATCAGGAGAAACAGCAAGAGATTCTGGCGAAATTCACAAAAATATGGCTGGTCAACGGAAAGGTGGCGTTCATTCAAGGTCTCCAACTCAGGTGGAACGACTGGCACAACTCCTGTCCGCTGCAGAGTGTACGGAGCACTCACCTCTCTCAGCCTCAGGGCTTCAGCACTACATAGTCCTGACAGACGACCAGGAAGGACACTTATGAATGACCAGGGTTACAACGATCAAGATATACAGTCAACTTCTCGCAGGGTTTCCCGCGTTTAAGTGCATCTGACAGGGTCTCTGATGGAGACATTGAGAGGCAGCACAGGGAAAGACAAGGAAACAGATGACAATCTCCACAGTATTGCAGCTGAGGGTTTAGGGGTTAGGGTGTAGACAGAAGCTACAAAAGGAATATGTACGGGGGTTGCTGAGTAGGTTTGGTCACAGTGGTCCGGAAGTAAACGAAGTCTAGCCAGCTCCCAAGGTCGAGCACAGGCCGAGGGTTTAGGGTTTAAGGCCTTTTGGTCGCTCATCCCAGGGGGTAGGGAGGAGTGTGAGGAAGGAACAGGTCGGCATGGACAACGGATGAACTCTTTCCTAGGGTCAAAGGCGTTATCCGGCAGATCTGGAGTCCAGGTCTGAGAGGGAAGAGAGGGTCAGGGCAAGCTGACAGTCAATCCTCCACTGCGGTGGAGTAATCAATGCTGTTCAGGGGTCCTTCGGCCGGACGGAAGGAAGCGTGCGTGATTTTTCCATCGATGTAATGTTTATTTTGACTTGCCGGTGGAATAGGAGCCGGACTGTCGCTTTCCAGAATAGAAGGAGC